CTTCATCAAGTGAGACATGAACTATGTTTGGACTCAGATCGTTGTGATAATTGCGTGCTGCTGAGTAATGCTAACTTTGATTGAAATACGACCATACACAAAGTTTTTTTTCTTTTTTTTTGTAAAAAAAAAAAATCTACGTAGAGAACAATGGAACGAAACAAAATGTCTCTATTCAAACGTAAAGACCTTCTTTACTACTATTGTAGCAGGTATGGTAGTGAAGGAAAGGGCCTTGATATTTAGATCCGGGTTTGTGTTGGGACCGTGCCGGTTAGGATCCCCCCCCTCCCCAGCCCCCATGTTGTGGTCTGCAGTTCTGTGCGGAGAAGAAAACTGCATTTTACTATTTTCTTTTCGTTTTACCTCTACGGGATTGCAGTATGTTAGTTATTTAGTTAGTTGCGAATCCTTTACATGACGTTGCAGAACCAACCTCAGCAGCCCCTGGCTGTTGTATGGTTTCTCTAGGCAAATTTACGTCCAGTAGTTTGCCATTGCTGTCTAAACGGTCGGCCCCCTGGTACTACTGTCGAAACCATGGCAGGGCGCATGGCCTGCAGCTGGGATCGAACCCAGCACCAGGGCATTACGAAGCGTTAGCATCGACTTAGCCACAGAGCCGACTTGCAGTATGTAGGATTAGCATATCAAGAATAAGAATAAATTACAATCCTGAAAATCCCATTCAACGGTTATAGCCAGCCATTTTGCAGTGATATTGGGGTAAAAATGTTGTCTGTGGCTTACGCACTTCCCAATGCCAGAGTGCCGGGTTCGATCCCAGCTGCGGGCCTTGCGTTGGCTTCGACAGTGGCATCGAGAAGCATATCGTCCAGAAAGCAATGGCAAACTAGTGGACGTAAATTTGCCTAGAAAAACCACAAGAGCCAACAAATGCTAGGGTTGATTCTGCAACGTCCTGTCAAGGATACGCAACTAAATTTATTTTTAATTGGGGTACTACAGAAAGACAATGTGTATAAAATATAGATCTAGTCTTATATCCAACACGCCTGAAGGGGTGGAAAAGAGTCCTTTAGTTTACAAAACCGTTACAAAGTAATCTGTGTATAGGTTCACCTCTTACTGTACCCAAAGATCGACTTTTCTAAGCTCATTATTTAGAGCAATAAATAGATGAATGAGTCAGAAATGACAATGACCTCGCTTGGGATATTCCCACATGGGCTCAGTCTCTCTCTCTCTCTCTCTCTCTCTCTCTCTCTCTCTCTCTCTCTCTCTCTCTCTTTATTTTTTCAGTAGCCTAAGAATTCCCGTGTTGATTCTGGAAGTTGCACCCTGAGTAAAAGTCTTAGCCCGTCCCAGTATGCGACTTAATTGTTTTTTGCCGGGGGACGGGGGGCGGGGGGGGGGGCGTATTATAAAGCCCCCCACCCCAGCTGTCGTCAGGGGTCATAAATATAACCTATTGGTTAAACAGGGTTTCTAGGACTTGCGCCCGGGGGATTCTCATCCGAATGGGTGCACGCTGTGTCACCGGGTGTTTAACGCTTATTGTGCAGACCAGGTGGGTGTTGACCGTCACTCACTCACTCACTCATTCCCTTGATATTTTGTTGGGGTAAATGTTAGGCAATCGAAAAGTTAAAGTAAAGGACTTTCCCACACCTTTTGAGCATTGAACATGAACTAAACCTATATTTGTTTTTATAGATCAATTGGAACTAGGTGGGTGATGTGGTCAGCACCACACCGGTCGCCTTTACTTCCCAACTTCTCTGGACATTGCCTGGTACTCACTAGGTTGGACCTGGAAGCCAAGGTCAATTTTGACAGAAAAATCTGCCTCAATGCGGAGTTAACCCTTGATTGTTGGCTCTGTACACGAGCATCTAGACCAGTGAATCCCAACCTTCCTAATGCCACGACCCTTTAACACAGTTCCACATGCTGTGGCGATCCTCGAAACATGCAGTTGTTTTCATTACTACTTCATAACTTCAATGAATGTATGTGTATTCCGATGGTCTTATGCGACCCATATTAAATGGTCATTCGACTCCCCAAAAAAGGGTCGCGACCCACAAGTTGAGAACCGTTGATCTAGTCAAACGTTTCCGCTGCTTCCTTGGCTCATTATTAGTACGAATGATTTGAAACATGGGACAGATCTACTAATAACTAATCTCATCGCAAGATTATCTGGGTTCATCTGGGTAAAGATCACAAGCCCATCTTAGCTCCATCTCCCTCCTCAACAGCCAGCGAAGAGTTTCCATACTAATCGTACTGTTATTATCTAGCTGAATACTCGTCTTGCATCCAGCTTGCAGCTGCCTTCCCCAACTGGAATGTCGGGATTGTGAAACTGCATTCACAAGCCCTAAGTCACAGACGTCGATTACCCAAAAGACAGTACACGTATCGATCAATAAATAAATGTCTCTGCCATGAAGCATGTTTGGTAACTGCGCGGCTTATTCTCTAGAAACAAAAACAAAACAAAAATGTGCCGGTACTCGGCCATTAAGTGTCTAAAAAAGATGCCGCCACTGGCGTGTGTGCGTGGCATCCTGATTGCTGTGGTGCGCCTCTTGGCTGGTTGCCTCCGACTTCAGCACCTTGTTTTGCTAGGGTAGACTGTGATCATACTCGAGGAGAGTAGGATCATCCATTCGTCTTTCGCCTTTACCTCGTTTGTTGTCCCATCCAGTTTCCTGCTGGGGGTTGAGACCCCAACCTTCAACTGGATTGCTGGGAAGAACAGGGTCCACCACGTGAAGGTGAGGTAGGCTTGAGCAAGAGAGGCTAATAGACATTAAGAGTCTTGTATTGCGCATCATTGCTCCATTTGGACCCCAACGACAGTGAAATTTATACAAGAGACAAAACTACTGATATAGACAACTTATTTCAGGCGAACGAAAGAAGAAGAAGAAGAAGAAGAAGATGCCGCCACTCACAACAGTGTCTGTTACAAAAGAACTTTAAAAAAATGTTGCATTAAAAAAAAAAAAGTGCAGTACTGCGTTTTAGGCATTTAAGCTATTGGCATTCATTGGGTGATGAGATGTATGCCATACCCACCACCGTTTTCAAGAATATTTCCTGGGATTCCTTATTATGCTGGGTATACCAGTGACGAGGTGCGATCAATTCGCACGTATAAGCGCTGGCAGGTAATGGTTACAATGGAGAGGGTATCACGTGACAAATTCTTCCTTGACGCTTTGCCGCTGAGAGAATGTACGCGCAGCTAACACAGAAGTACTAGTAACTTGTAGCTTTCACGCGTTAGTTTCTTTATGAGTGGCGCAAGGATGCAGCTAGCGTCCTTGGTCGCTATGTCGTGCTGGTCAACCGTGTGGTGTATTTCTAATAAATAGTCAACGATAACTGGTTTATACAACTAATCAACATCATGGCACAAGGACAGTAACACATAAGTGCTCCGTTCTACTTCTAACCCAAGCCTGAGTCCGAAGAATCTCACCACAGTGGACGAACTGCGTAGCACCGGATCCTGAAATACTTTGGGTTGATTTTTAACTCAAAATTTTGCCAGGCCAGAGCCGTTAGGCTACCCTACCCTTTTCGATTTCCTACTACCAAGGGATTATTTACGTGCGTAACGTCCGATCTTACTACCCAGAGGTTAGTTGCGTATCCTTTACATGACGTTGCAGAACCAACGACAACAGCCCCTGGCTGTTGTGTGGGTTTTCTATGCAAATTTACGTCCAGTAGTTTGCCATTGCTTTCTGGACGGTCGGTTTTCTTGATACCACTGTCGAAACCAACGCAAGGCCTGGGATCGAACCCGGCATCCCGGCATTACGAAGCGTTCGCAACGACTTAGCCACAGAGCCAAAACCCAGAGAGCAGGGAAAATTACTAGAAGTCTACGTGAAAAACATATCCTAGCTTTCTCCGGGACCTGAACCCGAAACCTCCAGCACTCGAGGTGGACGCCCGAGACCACACAGCTTCCGTGCATTAACGATAGTAATTGACAGTAACACACACACACATATGTATATATTTACACATATACATAAACATACATATATACACACACATTATATATATATATATATATATATATATATATATATATATATATATATATATATATATATATATATATATATAATAATAATATATATATATATATATATATATTGCATTGGAAAGCTGCCACCAGAGGCGTTTCGTGCGCACCTCGCCACTGGGGCAAGCCCTTCTTCGATTTCCTCCCACTTTCTATACCAGGGGTATAGACAGTCTTACAGTTAAACTATTTAAACAGAAAGAGCTGAGAGCACATGATCCTACCGAAGACTGTCAAGCACTCGCTACCCTTTCTTTGGTCGCTCGACAAAACACACACCAGTGACAGTAAACATTCGATTGAGGTAATGTGCGCACATGTGTCTGTTCTTGCTGATCTCGCTTCGAGTGTCAGCACTACACTACTAGTTTTATGTTAGCGCATTTTGTTCTCGTTTGTAAATAAACATATGCCATTTTTCATTTACGTGGTGCTCTTTTCATATTTTGCTGGCGACTGTTGTGTGGTAATGTGACTTTCCTGACAATGAGGTTTGAGGTTTGAACAACAGATTAACATCATGGCAAACGGGTAGTAAACCATAAGTGTTCTGTTTTTCTTCTAAGTCAAGTCGGAGTCCGAAAAAGCACAGTGCACGGGCTTTGTAGCACCGGCGAGGATCCTGAAATACTTTGGGTGGATTTTCAACTCTAAATTTTGCCAGGGCAGCGCCGTTAGGCTACTCTTTTCGATTTCCAACTGCCAAGGAAATATTTTACGTGCGCAACAATGCACACGGGCGTCCGATCTCACTACACAGAGACCAGGGGGAATTACTAGAAGTCCAAGTTCACTCCCGACAATGGCGTTCTCACAAACCAGTGAGTCTCGTGTTTTAGATACCAACAGAGATCTGGAAAACACCGCTGAAAGTAGGTATGATGACAGTGATGGTGAAACAGAAGTTGTTGAAGTTGATAAATCAATGAAACGTTTTGTGTCACTCAGCAAGGATTGTTGTGTTAGAACAGTGCTGATTTCTGTGGTCGTCACAACAGCTATTGTGCTGATAGTAATTGTTGTATCACATTGGAAAACTAATGTGAAGTCTACGCGGACGAAACAAGCTCAAACGGTGTGTAGTCGTGTAGATGTTTGTTTTGTTAATTATTGTGGGACAATTGTTAAACCCGCCTTGCCTTTCTGTCGTTTTGTTAATGATTCTAGGACAACTGTTAATCCTGTTTTATTTTTGTTCGTCTGTTTTGATAATCATTGTGGGACGATTGTTAAACCTGTTTTGTCTTTCTGTCTGTTTTGTTATTCATTGTGGGACATTTGTGAAACCTGCGTTGCCTTTCTGTGTGGCTGCTTTGTCATTTATTGTGGAACAACTAAACCTATTCGGCCCGTTTGTCTATATTTTTCTTCTTCACATCACTGGGGACTATTGTTAAACCTGCTTTGCCTTTCTGTCTGTCTATTTTGTTATTCATTGTGGGACAGTTGTTAAACCTGCTTTGCCTTTCTGTATGTCTGTTTTGTTAACCATTGTGGGGCAATTGTTAAACCTGCTTTGCCTTTCTGTCTATCTATTTTGTTATTTATTGTGGGACAATTGTTAAACCTGCTTTGCCTTTCTGTCTATCTATTTTGTTATTTATTGTGGGACAATTGTTAAACCTGCTTTGCCTTTCTGTCTATCTATTTTGTTATTTATTGTGGGACAATTGTTAAACCTGCTTTGCCTTTCTGTCTATCTATTTTGTTATTTATTGTGGGACAATTGTTAAACCTGCTTTGACAACAAGGTCAGCTGTTGAAACTTCTACATTTGAGCACACCTCGTTGACAGACAATATTAGTACGTTTATTCAGAATTTCTCCACAGACATAATGTGTGTCCATGAAATGAAAATGTTACGATCGCTGTATTTAATAACGGTAGGATAATTCCTTTCCTCCAACATGGAGCTCAGAGACCTTGCTCTCCCGCGAACTGCGGCTTCAGGAACATATCAATACAAGCCTCCGCCATTCCTACTTCTCTTGTTTCTGTCCAGTTCTTCTGTCGGCAAGTGACGTCGTGTCTCTCGTCATATCTCATGTTCATTAGCGGTCGTCAATAGTGTGAATCTTCGGTTTAAACACAACACTCACCATAAATTGTCTATTATAGTGTCAATGAATAAAATAATGCCTAAAAATTTGCCAGTACTGCGTACTGCCAGAAAAAAGGTCCCGTTACCTTGCCTTTATCCGTCTGTTTTAATAATTATTGTGAAACAACTGTTAAACCTGCTTTGCCTTTCTGTCTGCCTGATTTGCAAACAAATGTCGTAATTGTAACAGACTCTAAAAGCAGGCTGAGAAAGGTGAAGACAGGGATGCTTCGAGCAGAGTGGCAACCTTTACTGGGAAGGTCACGGGTAGTGAGCATACGTTGGATCTTTTCTCCAGGTATGCCGGCGTAGTGGGTAATGAACAGGCAGATTGGCTGGATCTGCACCACTGAATGGTGAACTGATACATGACAAGGCAGATGTGGTCAAGGCTCTTTGGGAACAAGCAACGGAATCAGTAGAGAAACATGATTATTATGGCCTGGTAAAATAAGGCACCTGGGTGTAACCAGAGGGTCTGGCCGGCTCGCTACACTCAGAGGAAAGGCAAGACGGACATATAACCAGATTGTGACCGGTACCATCAGTATTGGAACTCTGCACTAGCTGCTGAAGATGAGGACGGAGCACGCATGGGAATGCCCCAAATGCTGTGGTGTCAATTCTTGACCCAACTCTGCCTGATTTGTTATTTACTGTAAACCAACTGTTAAACCTACTTTTTTTTCTGTCTGCCTGATTTGTTATTTATTGTGAACCAACTATTAAACCTACTTTTCTTTTCTGTCTGCCTGATTTATTATTTATTGTGAAACAACTGTTAAACCTGCTTTGCTTTTATGTCTGCCTGTTTTGTTATTTACTGTGAAGCAGACTGTTAAACCTGCTTTGCCTTTCTGTTTTGGTAAGGTCAGTTCAAATGTTCTACTCAGTCTTCACTGAAGTAGCCAATCCAGGTTTGGATATTTAATTCTGTTGTACTGCCCAGACAGCCTTCAACTTGTCTGCTTTATCACAAAGTAGCTTGCTGGGCAAATGGTCGGCAGCAGCCAAGTCATTATATCAGATCGTTACTGCACAAACACACACACTGATACGACTTTTCAAGTTGCACTGGAGTCGAACGCGCGCCGCGGATCGGAAGGTCGTGGGTTCGCTCCCTGGCGGAGACGGACTTTTCTTGAAAAATGACCTTGGCTCCCAGGTGGACCCAGCCTTGAGTGGGTACCGGGTGCAATCCCGGGAAGTAGAGGCGGCCGGTGTGATGCTGACCACATCACCCATCTTGTGCCGTTGGTCTATAAAAATATAGGTCTAGCCCTATACGCCTAAAGGCGTGGAAAGGGTCCTTTACTTTACTTACTGGAGTTGAAACTTCAGTAGCAACCCCTAGAGGAAAAAATCTTTCAGTTTGTTTTACCTCATTTCAATCAATCAAGTAATCGAATGCTGTTTCCACTGTGACAGTTGGCTTCAATAAATCATCAACACGCCCTGTCTCTCTTTTTTAAATTTTTTATGGCGCATTCATCTCAGTTCATGCTGCTTCATTTATTGTTGTAACGGATATGTATAAACCTGGTTGTATTCTATCTCAACAGGAAACTGTGCACTGGCTGGGAAACAAGGTACACAAACAGTTAATCTTTGAACACCAATTCCTTCTGCGGGATTTCAGTAACCGACATTCAGTTCAGATCTTAGCCATTGACGATTTCACACGGAAGTACGTCATCTTGTGGCCAGATATTAATAAACATTATAACTTATACTTGGTGGTTGATTTTGAGAAGGTTAGACAATTTCTTTTCCATCGACTATTCGTGGTAACAGTTCTAAAATATATTTGTCTGTCTGTTGCACTCTGAAAAAGGTATTGGTTGTGTTGAACTAAAAAATCAGCAACACAATAGTTTGGAATTCCCATAAAAGTGTCCTCCCAATTTTCAGAAGCCTGGCAGAGTTCCGACGATAATGGTATCGGTTTACATATCTGTATGCCCGTCTTGCCTTTTCTCTGAGTGTTTAGTGTCGGTGATAGGATAAACCTGCCTTGCATACACGCGATACTGAAGAATTATCAGCTACGTTGGGCTGGTCACCTAGCCCACATGCCAGATTATCGCCTCCCAAAGAGAGTATTTTATAGCGAGTTCCTGCAAGGGAAGATGTCCCAGGAAGGACAGAAAAAGCGCTATAAGGACACTCTCAAAACTGCTCTCAATTCTTTTGGCATCAACACAGCGATGTAGGAGCTGCTGCACATGACCGTTCTGAAAGGAGTGCATCAGCCTGCCAGGCAGCAGAGGTTGCACAGGCAGAAAAACGGAGGCAGACTAGAAAGAACTGTATCGCTAATCCCACACTTACTGCGGTATCCACCTTTTGTCCGCACTGCTCAAGAACCGTTAGTCTCATATTGGACTAATCAGCCACCTTCGTACTCATAATCATGGATCATCACTACTTTGGATGAAAAGTGGTCTTTATCGCTCGTGATGGACGAACAACCGTGTCGGCCAGGACCTCGTGTAATCCCCAGCTACATCATTCTCTCCAAACTGCGATGACATCCGCACTGTTCGTGCTCCCAAAGAACCTTGTTAGTTAGTTAGTTGCATATCCTTTACAGGACGTTGCAGAACCAACCCTAACAGCCCCTGGCTGCTGTGTGACTTCTCTAGGCAATTTACATCCAGTAGTTTGCCATTGCTTCCTGGACGGTCGGCTTTCTTGATACCACAGTCGAAACCAACGCAAGGCGCATTGCCCGCAGCTGGGATCGAACCTGGCATCCCGGCATTACGAAGCGAAGCGTTCGCCTCGACTTAGCCACAGAGCCGAAAGAACCTTGACTAGATCTATTTTGTCGTGCATCAGTTCACCACTCAGTGGTACAGAGCCACTGAATCTGTTTCTCTATTCGTTTCCATACACTTGGCATTCCGTCAAGTAAATATTTTTAGACGCGAAGCAAACAGCTCGACAACTTCGCCTCGGAGACGGTCCTCAAACTATAAATTACACATTAATCAAGTACCAGAAAATGTATTGAACGGCACTCATAGAAAGAAGTAGAAAGATAGAAGAACACACTAGACAACATAAAAATCGAAAGCTATAATTACTGTGCCGGAAATTGAACCTGTCACCTCCAGACGGCGTGTGCGCCTCGCCATGGATACAAGTGCACTAAGAACATGGTCAACTAGGCACTTCCAAAAAAGGTGTCTTAAATTACATAAGCTTTCCTGTATTATGGCAGCCGTGGTGTAGTGGCTAGACGCCCGCCTGCGGATCCGAAGGTTGTGTCCAGGTCCAGACGGAGCCGGAATTTTGTCAAAAGGGACCTTGACTTCCAGGTCGGCCCAGCTTTAAACGGATATAAGGTAAAGTCCTGGGAGGTAAAAGCGGCCGGCGTTATGTTGATCACATCACCGACCGAGTGCCGACTGGTCTATAAAATTTAGGTCTAGCCTTATATGCTCAAATACTGTGGATTGCTATCAATACTCGTCTCCGTGTGGGATGCAATTTTTCGTCATTTTAAGCCTTATCCTGGCTTTTGCCGGGGGCGCTAAATATATTTGCTTAATACGCCTGAAGTCACAGATAAGGGTCCTTTACTTACTTTTTGCATTATTGGGGGGGTGGGGGGGGGGGGGTGAGGGGATGCCAGACACTGTTAACTGAGAGAGCTTAAAACATTATTTTTAAGTTCTCATTTCTTAACTATTTCTTTTTTAATAATATCGCCAGGTGATGATTGCAATCCTTTGGAGATGGAGATATGATTGGGGGGGGGGGGGGGGGTGTTCCTTGCGACATACATTTCTGTTGGCTTTTGGTGCAATAGTCGGCCCTGTGGCTAAGTCGATGCGAACGCTTCGTAATGCCGGGATGCCGGGTTCGATCCCAACTGCGAGCCATGCGCCTTGCGTTGGTTTCGACAGTGGAATCATAAAAACCGACCGTCCAGTAAGCAATGGCAAACTAATGGACGTAAATTTGCCTTTAAAAAACATGCTACAGCCAGGGGCTGTTGGGGTTGGTTCTGCAACGTCCTGTAAAGGATAGGCAACTAACCTTTTGGTGCAATAAATCCCGCTTACTTCTTTTTGAACAGATGGCAGACAATGGCCATACTATCTACTACTATTCTTGCAATGTGCTTTGTATGTTTGTGTATGGCCCCAAGTTTCGTGCGCTTACTAGGACTCACGTCCACCTCTTACTATGTAAATTAAAAGACCATTTTCTACGCCTTCAGGCTTATTGGGCATATAGGGCTAGACCTATATTTTAGTGAACAAAACTGCACTCTGTGAATGATGTGGTAAACATCACGCCGGTCGCCTTTAGTTCCTGTGACTTCACCTGGTACCCACTGAAGACTGGGTCGACCTGGGAGTCAAGGTCATTTCCGAAAAAGGTCCAGTTCCATTCTGACTCGAACCGATGACCTTCGGTTACGAAGGTGAGCGTCCTGTCACTACATCACGGTTGCTCTAATCTCTTACAATGGCTGGATTACAAATACCGAGTAGCTGAAGCTAGAGCCTTTCTAATAATGTTCGGGCACGTAGTAGCTAGTCGTGTGCCTTCCAACCCGAAGGTCTAGTGTTCAGATCTGTAGTCGAGCTGAATTTTGTCATAATTGACCTTGGCTGCCAGGTCCACGCAGCTCTAAATAGGTACAAGGTCATGTCTTGGAAAGTAAAGGTGGCCACTTTATAGTGACCATATAACCTGTCGAGTCCCAGTTCTTCTATTCACACACACACACACACACACACACAAAAAATAATAATAATAGGTCTAGCAGTGTATAAGACGTGCGTCTTCCCTGTAGCTAGATACGGATGTGAGTCGTGGACTATCTTCCCTGTAGCTAGATGCGGATGTGAGTCGTGGACTATCTTCCCTGTAGCTAGATACGGATGTGAGTCGTGGACTATCTTCCCTGTAGCTAGATACGGATGTGAGTCGTGGACTATCTTCCCTGTAGCTAGATACGGATGTGAGTCGTGGACTATCTTCCCTGTAGCTAGATGCGGATGTGAGTCGTGGACTATCTTCCCTGTAGCTAGATACGGATGTGAGTCGTGGACTATCTTCCCTGTAGCTAGATATGGATGTGAGTCGTGGACTATCCTTTCTGTAGCTAGATACGGATGTGAGTCGTGGACTATCTTCCCTGTAGCTAGATACGGATGTGAGTCGTGGACTATCTTCCCTGTAGCTTGATACGGATGTGAGTCGTGGCCTATCTCTCAGTCTTTAAGAAAGAGAATAGGGGCTTTCGAGCTGAAATACTATAAAAAGATTATCAGAATATCTTAAACAAAGAAGATGAGAAGTATTGAAAAGATCTGAACATCAAGGAAGATTAGCTAATAAACAGCATCCTTTCTCGAAAGCTGAAAAATTTTGGTAATATCAAGCGCCACGACGGATTGGGAAAAATTATAGCAGAAGGCATGGTACCAGGAAGGAGGGGCAGGGGCCGACCGACACGAAGATGGGCACAGGATAATATATTTATATAATATATTTATTTATATAATATAGTTTATTTCAGGCAGACTGTGATGAGAACGACGTTCTGCAAAGGACCTGCTACATGATGATGATAAGTGTATAAGACGTGAAAAGATTCAGTTATCGTGCGTATTATCGAATATAGGGGCGACTCTACTCTGGCTGATAGTAATAAGTAACTTAACACAACACTGCTTCTAGAAAGATCAACAGAGAAAAAGGGAAAGCCACTGAAACAGACCACCAAAAAGGTTACTTAGAAACGTAAATACCGAAAATTATCCGGGGTTTTCCCCTTTTTCTCTGTTGAGATTTCCAGTCGTGGTTTTGTGTTACTTTCATTTACTTCGTGATACACACTGGCATAATTAACGTTAGTGCAGGCGTAATTGTGACCACATTTACGAAATGACACTCCTTAAAAGATACAAGCTGGCAGCTTTCTTGCATATAATAAAAAAGTGACAAAATTCATAATTTGTTTCAACTGCTCAAATATAATTTTTTTTACAGTAGCCTTTTTTTTTTTTTTTAATAATATACTGCTGTGTAATAACATTATTAAGAAATAAGAAACATTCGACAGAACACGGAAACAGTGCTCATAGTGTCCAAGTCAGAGAATGAGTTCGCAACAAATGTGAAAGAAAATACAGCCTTGTTGTGTCAGACTAAGAGATTTGACAGAGATTTCCACGGGGAGCCGGCAACAGTGGCAGATGTCGTTGCGGTGAGTTGGTTTGAAAAGAAATCATGAGACTTTCTTATGTTTCTGTTTGTTAACGCTTGTTCTATTTCTAGTTCCTACCCCAACTCTCACCTTGCTAACTGTTAGATGGTAATCCCCCCATTGTGGAGAAAACAAGAATATATCTATTCCCTTCCCGGCAAGCATGTTGTAGGAGTCTGCTAGTTGGGGACTTCCTTCGAAGTAGAGCTTTGAGAGAGAACTAATCAAGTTACAGTGAATCAGGAGGTGATAAAAAGACGCTGGCGTTAAATATTACACACCCCGTGTGGGTTCCGGAGTCCCATTGAGGTGAGACCCACTGCCTACCCAACAATGTCGTAGGAGTCGACTTATTTGGGGCATAAAACCAAGCCAGATCTGTAAAACAGGATGTGCAGGCACCACTCATATTCTGGAACAAGACTCAAATTTGGAGGTGGGCGAACAACCAGAACTTGCGGAAAGAGTTTACAACCGGTGACAGCGAAGAAGACGCAGGATATTACACTTGTTAAGAAAACCCGAAAGAAGTATAACCAACATGGTTATGCACGGGAGCCCTCAGCGTCAAAGAAATATAGGCAGACCAAAACACAAACGCTTGGAGAGTGGAACTATGAAGTAAAGATTTTAAAAAACAAACATGTTGAGGTCAAGAGATTTAGCAAACAATCTGCCATGAGTTAATTTAGGGCCTATGACCATTAAGAAATTAAGAAGTAGAATAATAATAATAATAATAATAATAATAATAATAATAATAATAATAATAATAATAATAATAATAAGAAGAAGAAGAAGAAGAAGAAGAAGAAGAAGAAGAAAAAGAAGAAAAGAAGAAGAAGAAGAAGAAGAAGAAGAAGAAGAAGAAGAAGAAGAAAAAGAAGAAGAAGAAGAAGAATGAAGAAGAGAAGGAGAAGTAGAAAAAAAATAATAGTAATAATAGCAATAATAATAATAATTTAATAATGAAATGTAAAAACAACATAACGACAAGATTTCCTCTGATATTTCAGACTTCGAATCAAAAGAAAAAATCAGGTCACTCAAACATTGAACGTGCAGTGAGTTATATAGGAGGACCTTTGGCGTTAGAGCGCTTCATTTCAACTGTTGTAAACTCCAGCTGTGAAGACCTACCTACAACTGCCTTGTTCAAGTGGGATAAACTCGGTCTGTACTTGTTTTGTTTTCTTCAGATAAACTTGTTTGTGGTACTGAATGTATGTCTTCATTGCAGCAGTATGTAGCAATTATTTTTCAATCAGGAGCAAAGCTTAAAATATGTATCTGTGATAATACTATTGCTGGCGTTTGAAATAAAGTAGTCTGTGTTTTATAAACATAACTCAATGACTACTTCAACAAGAACTTAAATGAAGAAACAAATCGATTGAGAAAATTAGGACTCCAAAAGAAACCAGAAAACGAACGTTGACGAGAGAGAAAGAGAGAGAGAGAGAGAGAGAGAGAGAGAGAGAGAGAGAGAGAGAGAGAGAGAGAGAGAGAGAGAGAGAGAGAGAGAGAGAGAGAGAGAGAGCCAATAATCTTAGGCTGAATTCCATTCATGATATTCAAACAATTGTGCGGGATAGTGCAAGAATAGATCCTTGTGACGTTTAACGCACTATATGGTATTCTGAGAGTCTTAGTTTCAGCTTCATAGCAAACGGGTCACCCCATAGTTGCTCCGCTCCTGTGCCAACGAAAACACACAGAATGTTTATCTCAGTCCCTTGTGGAAAGACTGACAGACTGCTGTCTCAACATATCTAGCATACACACGCATTAAAGCATACGGTAGCCATCCGAAGTGCTAACACAAACAGTCCGACATTAGAAATGCAGTTCATCATTGATGGTAGCAGAAATCACCAACAGATCAGCAGTTTCCCACGCGATCAATTTTAATCACATTCGGGCACCACCAACATTGCGACAACAGGCACCGCGCCATTTTCTGAATCCAAAATTCACACTCCCACGTTGGTCACATTCGAAAAAACAATCCAAATGAAATCCGCAGCTCACAGTGTCACGCCATACATTCAACTCAGAAGTTGGGCGACGAAACTATATACAGTCTACAAATGGAGCAAAAATGCATCGGCCACTGTCCGGCATAAGCATAAAATTTGCCTCGGCTCCAAACAGTGCCCCTGCCCAGTGTTCATTTTGACCGGAAGTCAACGCACTATATGATGAGAATGATGATGAATGACTACCTCATGAACCAACGTACAGCTAAATTATCGTAATCAAGTGAACTTGAGAGTAATCGACACATGTTGGGTGATGTGGTCAGCATCACGCCGGACGTCTTTACCTCCCATGATTGCACCTGATACCCTTCAAGGTCGGGTTGACCTAGGAGCCAAGGCCATTTTTTTAAACCGAACAAGGAACTGAACCTATAACCTTCCGATCCGCAGGCTAGCGCCTAGTCACTTCACCAAAGATACCCTCCATTGTGTAAAGGATCTGCTAATTAATGACAGTGACCCAAATGTTAATAAATTATAGGAATGTGAATTCTTATATTACAACCAGTACCTGTTTGGTACCCACAAGAAAAACCACGGGATTTTCATGATCAGCGGACGGGCCGGATATTGTTTATTTAGATAAAAATGTGTTCCTGAATTTCCCCTGTGCTGAATTAAAGACGGACAGAAGATGTCGAGGCCGACCTCTACTATGATATAAAGACACCTGCAAGCGGGACATGAATGATACATGTATTGAGGTGGACTCGTGTGTGTGTGTGTGTGTGGGGGGGGGGGGAATGTCATGGACCGTGTTGTGTGGATGGGGCACATCGGAAAGGGAATGAGAATGAATGAAGAAATATGATTGCAGAAAGGATGAGAGATGAGCATCTGAGAAGAAACAGACTAAACAAATTTTCATAAGAATGTTCCTGAAATCCCATACTATAACTATGGAAGACTTTTCTTAAAGCTGTTGGGTCTTGATAGTCATACTCGCCATCGTCATGGGCTGTGAGTCACATGCCTCCTCGTAGCGTAATATAACACTACCTCCTGGGTTGACGGAACGGTGCCAATTGAATAAATATATATATATATGTATATAAAGGTTAGTTGCGTATCCTTTACAGGACGTTGCTGAACCAACCCCAACAGCCCCTGGCTGTTGCGTGGTTTTTCTAGGCAAATTTACGTCCAGTAGTTTGCCATTGCTTACTGGACGGTCGGCTTCCTTGATACCACTGTTGAAACCAACGAAAGGCGCATGGCCTGCAGCTGGGATCGAACCCGGCATCCCGGCATTACGAAGCGTTCGCATCGACTTAGCCACAGAACCGACATATATATATATATATATATATATATATATATATATATATATATATATATATATATATATATATATATATATATATATATATATATATATATATATATATATATATATATATATTGTTGTCAAATAACTTTCTAGAAAAAAAAAATACTAATATTTAAAAAAAAAAAAAAAAAATTCGATGCACATCCTACACCGCACAAAAACACGATATGATCACTGCTAGGGTTTTGCTTGTAATGTTTATTTTTCCCATGTGTGGAAACTCACGGGACATCCTAAATATATTGCCTCGACCACCGCCTCCGCCTCTACGGCTGATATTGAAAGTCGTCAGGATATTGTTCACTATCCTTATTGTCAAAAAAATATATTATACCACGCGAAATATGGTTACACATCTAGAACCTCGTCGGTACTATGGAGTTCGTTTGGAGTTCTCTTTGGTGGTCTATGATAGGATCAACTTACTGTCTCTATTTCATAGCTGACAGCAAGTGAGAAGCATAGTGTCTTGAGATCCTTGTCTTTACCTGATTTCATATATCAGCCGATCCATCCATCCACGAGTATACCCATCATTTCGTCTATTTGTCTACATCAATTGCGCTACCCACTCATCCATTCACCCCACCATCCACGATCTAATCTATCTATCTATCTATCTATCTATCTATCTATCTATCTATCTATCTATCTATCTATCTATCTATCTATCTATCTATCTATCTATCTATCTATCTATCTATCTATCTATCTATCTATCTATCTATCTATCTATCTATCTATCTATCTATCTATCTATCTATCTATCTATCTATCTATCTATCTATCTATCTATCTATCTATCTATCTATCTATCTATCTATCTATCTATCTATCTATCTATCTATCTATCTATCTATCTATCTATCTATCTATCTATCTCTCTCTCTCTCTCTCTCTCTCTGTCTGCCTGTCTGCCTACCTATCTACCTACCTGTCTGTCTGTCTGTCTGTCTGTCTGTCTGTCTGTCTGTCTGTCTGTCTGTCTGTCTGTCTGTCTGTCTGTCTGTCTGTCTGTCTGTCTGTCTGTCTGTCTGTCTGTCTGTCTGTCTGTCTGTCTGTCTGTCTGTCTGTCTGTCTGTCTGTCTGTCTGTCTGTCTGTCTGTCTGTCTGTCTGTCTGTCTGTCTGTCTGTCTGTCTGTCTGTCTATCTATCTATCTATCTATCTATCTATCTACCTCTGTCTGTCTGTCTGTCTGTCTGTCTACGTACCTACCTACCTACCTATCTCTCTCTCTCAATCTGTCTGTCTGTCTGTCTGTCTGCTATTTGTTTGCAAGCACAGGCACAACTTTTATTCCATGCGGATGGACTAATGTCATCCCCACAACCCCTCCCTCCCTTCTTAGTCACTCAGTGTACGCTGTTGGCTTCTAATCCGCCCCTTTTTTCGCCCCCACCCGCGCGTTGGAGATATATAGGCTGACCGTTATTTCATTGTACGAAGTTTTTTCGCCAGGGACACAGATGAGTATCATCTATTTTATACATTAGAGTCCTATGTAGTCACTTCATAGTTGGAGCATATTTGTGTATGTGTACTGTGTTGTCCTTTATGTGCTGATGAAGGCTAACCGCCGCAACGTCCTTTGTTTATTGTGATCGATTTTGTAAAGCTAACATAAACTATTTGTTGTTTCTTACCAACTTTTTCTCTCCCCTATAATTTTCTACTCCTTTTAAAAACTGCGCAAATGTGAGCGATCTTTTCTTTGGAGGTGAAAGGACACAGTTTACGACTGGTTCGGTATACGCCTACTGTTATACCGTAGCTCAGTCATGTCTAACCAAAACCTGACGCCGGTCGAGGTAAAAGTAAAATACTTAAACTGCAGGAAATTTCCCGGTTCTCATTTCTTGTCGTTCTTTTCTTTAAAGTAAAAGGTTGGTCTTATTTTGTTTAAAATACATATTTTATTCCTCACAGACCCTTTCCGGGCATTCCTCTCTCAAAAGGCCAGATTTGTCAAAAGTTTCGGACCTGCAACTATATACAGAAATCTTGTGACCCTTACTACCGGGAAAACCCTGGTAGAACGCAGAACCAGCCCTATTGCAACTGCAGGGACACTGCAGCAAAGGACGCTGATGGCATTTCGTGTCCTAGAGTTGCAGACGACGGTGGTGAGTGCGAAATCCCGAGGCGGGATTTGTTGGTGACTCAAAGAAGTCTGCCTTGTTTGTGCATATATAGATTTCCTGTGGTCTATCCGTATACTTCAGTTAGAACAGCGGACTCACTGACAGAAAATACAGTTAAAGACGGTAATATTTTAAAGTGGTATGAGAAAGAGAAAGTTGTGACCGGCCCAGCTTTGACATGTTCGCAATGTCCATGTTAGTATATATGAATGCATATGGTGGTATTTAATGGAAACCAAAACATACACGAAATGAGGAGACAGGGTGCCGGGACTGCTTGGAATAAAATAAGAATTGTTTTAAAAAAAGAAAGAAATATATTAAATATTTATAACTTTTTAAGGACCAGGAAACTTACATGTTAGGCCCTACTGGTTACTGTTCTTCTGCATTTTACCTCAAATGGGCGCTTGACATTTTATGTTGTGATTTACAGCTAGGCTTCGATATCTGCGCCTTTTGGACCAACACATTCGATTTCAGCACACACACACACAAAACCTTAAAAAGTAACCTTTTGAAACATGCAATGGGTCTGTCCCCCCCCCCCCCCCAAATGGGGTCTCCAGAACCCACACAGGGAAATTGTGTATGATATGTGTCCGTTAAGTTCAGTTACGTTAATCCAGTATATTCCAGTTGTTACTTTAACTCATTCTCTCCAATTAGCTGTATTACTATAATTCAAAGACTGCAACTCTACAGTTTTGAACAAAAAAATCCCTGTATGGGTTTGGGGACCCCACTATTGGGGGGGGGGGGGATATGACCCCCCCCCCCTCCCCCTTCTGTCGACATTGTAAAAGTCTACTAATTAGAGGTCTCTTTATTTCCTTCGAGATCATAGTGCATCTGCTTGACCCACAAGGAACCAACAGTCTGCATACAAATAGACCAGATCTGTATAACAGAAAGGCAATAGGTTTATTCTCTTCCCCCACCCCCCTCCAAGAGAATGGGGCTCCAGAACACACAGAGATGTCATGGTACAATTTTTTGCACTTTATTTTATAAATGCTATAGTACAGTGGTTAGAACAACTACATCAATTTGTCTGTGTTCAATCTTATGTAGAGCCCAGATTAAAAAAAATGTCAAGAGTATTTTGTGAGATAAATCCAAAATTATAGATTTCCTAACTAGTACCTTCAGCGGTCAATCAAGAATTGAAATTTCTTGCCAGAATGTTCCAGTATCTCATAAGTTTCAGTGCACTTTTATCTTGTAATACTCACTGTGCACTTATATCTTATAATACTGTGCACTTATATATTATAAGACTTACCATGCACTTGTATCTTATAAGACTTACAGTGAAATTGTATCTTATAACTTACAGTGCATTTGTATCTTATAAGACTTACCATGCACTTCTATTTTATAAGACTAACCATGCACTTATATCTTAAAGACACTATGCACGAGACACTCCTATATGCGCTCCATATCCATCAGACGAACAGTTCAAATTCTGATGGTACCAGTAACTGCGTTATTGAACATCATCTCGTCCTTCCCTTGAGTGTCGGCCAGATCCCCTGGTGACTCCCTGCAGCGCCATTCTCCTCAGACCATAGTGATCTGTTTGTGCCGGCTCCTAAATAAATAATCAAATAATACAGTTCTGTTGGGGCACCTTCTGGCAATACAATGTAACCTGCTGTCCCTGTGAAGACTGGCCCTCAACATATTTATCTAGTAAGAGTACTATGTAAGTGCATCTTAGAAGATTTAATATGAACATGTTGACACTAGACAATCTGGCAATCTCCAGATTGAGGAGTGCCAGATTTGTGAAAATGCCTCATTTTGTATGCAGCGATCGTGGCTTCAGCGTTGGGAGTCTGACTCATAATTCCAACGTACCGCGATCGAAACCCACTGCTGGCTGCGTGGATTTTTATATTGGTATGGGGCATCGACCAAGCCTAAAATGAGTACCAGGATGGCTGACCTGGGGAAGTAGAGACGGCCGGCGTAATGCTGACCACACTACCAACCTAGTGTCGATAGTCTGAATAAATATGGGACGCTCTTCCCGATGCGACTAAAGGCGTGAAAATGGATCTTTACTTTTACTAATTTTGTATGGTTTTTTATGCTGTAAATGTTTAATAGAGAATAACTACCTGTAGTTCTTTAAAGAAAGAAAATTAAACACTATTTGAAAAGTACATGAAATTTTAATGTTCAACAACTAAATATAACAGTTGTACAGAATTTTGGTTCAACTGAAAAACACATTTCCTCAGAATAGTTTTTTTAATTTTAAAATGCGCTCCAGAATCCATGCCAGATAATCTGAAGAAACTAGTTTATCCACGGCTGGATTTTTGAAGGGCAACCTGTACTAGCAACTTACTCATAAGACTTACTTATGTGCATAACATGCATATTAATAATTTTAAATTGCTGTTTCTGATTAATTTTAATTTTTTTAAACAAATGTATGTTTACTCTTTGAGTCCCAAGAAACATATCATATGTTCATAGGTTCCTACCTAGAAGCCCAATGAACGCATGATACACCAATTTTATTACTTTCTTTACTACTCCCTGGGCTTGTGATGCTAAACCCCCTGGGACTCAAAGAATTAAGATTTATCGAATATTTTATAATTTAACTGCCCCCCCCCCCCCACACACACACAATTATCATTACAGCGTTGGTGCCACTGCTTTCGTTGCTGGGAGAATTTTGGAAGGGCTAATGATTATTATCCCTCACCATTGGCTCTACAAAATACAGATTTGCTGTATACCACACAATGTACAGACTATGATGTGTTTGTAAAAGGTCTCCAAAAAATATATGAACTCTCCACCCAATCATGGATCAGAACACAGGTCTCCAGCATGAGAGATGGGTATTTTAACTCTTCAAGTCCCACGGCGTGGGTTACTTGAACTCTGTGCTTCACGAGAAGTTGTTACTTTAACTAACAGATGCTTGGCTCTGAAGGAATTAAAATAATTAAACTATGAGACAGAAGAGCTCAAAAAGAAACTGATGCAAAATGGGTTAATATATAGATGGATGGAGCTCAGAAAGGTAAGAAAGGTGGATAATGGAAATGGAAATCGGCAAACGTACTTTGCGTTCCTTAGTAATTAAAGAGTTAACCCATTATGTCTATATTAATACAGGCTCAAAAATATGGATTTCATTATGATCTTAAACATGGGATAAATTAACATGATAAGTACGGATAATATATTAAACAGTCTCAATCATTCATAAAGCCATGTACCATATTTTCCAGTGTATGAGATGCCCCCATGTATAAGACAGCCGCTAGTTGTTTAGCACAACAAGATTAAGAAATACATATTTTAAACACAACCCATGCCCAATTTTAAACTTAAAAAATAAGGAAAAACATGTCTTATACATGGAAACATACGGTACATACTAATTTTCTGATAGACTGGAATATATCAAAATAATAAGGATATGTATAGACATAAATATAAATATATTCAATATGTAAAGGTCCATTTTCTCAGCCTTGTGTGTATGTATAAGGTATATGATGCTAGCTTCAAATTAATATAGACCAATCGGCACTGAATGGGTGATACATCACATTGAAATTCTTTACTTCCCAGAATATTTCCTAATATCCACTTTTAACTCTTTCCGTCCCAACATATTTTACAGAAGAGTCCCAGAAGAAACTTTTGCCACAGTAAACAAAGGAAGAGTGCATTTCTTAAACATACATATACATTTTTAAAATCTTTTTTTTTTTTCATCGTTCATCCAGATGACATAAATGTGTTGTACCCGTTTACAACATTGCTGCCATATCTGTGCCTTCCGGGCGACACATCTGACTTCTGCTGGCATTTGTTGCCCAGGTTAACCTTGCCAGCATTTTTTTTAATGAAACACAGACTGAAACAGTCCTAGCGAGAGCAGTGGGTCTACTATTTTTTTTCCCGCCGCAGTGGGATCCTAGAACCCACATGCTGACAGCCTCAGACAAACCATAAGTAATACTGTTTGGTATATATCGCCAATCTCATATTTGTATCAGTAAAATAAAGGACCTTTTTATGCCAGTTGCACATCAGCCATATGATGCTAAATCCATTTTTTTTTAAATAGACCAACTAACGATCGGTGGCGGATGTAGTCTACATTAAGCCAACCGCCTTTACTTCCTATGAAATGACCTAGTACCTATTTAGAATGGGTCTAGCTAAAAGCCAAAGTACATTTTGAAAGATAAAAATCTAACTTCAATGAGGAATTGAAAATAAGACCTTCAGACCGACAGGTAAAGATTCATAGCATGCGATCCACCGTGGCACCTATTTATAATCAGAATTCAAGGGGAGATGTGAATAAAATTACTGTAGTTCCCTTAGCTTTCCAGGCTGCTTCTGTGTGTGCATTTTAGGCAAAGAACACCCGAAAAATTAGTTCAATTTTTAAAAAATGTTTCGGGTTTTAGCCTATGACCACCAGGCCAGCAGGCAAATATTCTGGCCACTGCAGCTTCTGTCTTTGATCTAATGTGAAAATATGCACTGGAGTTTGATTATACAGAGTGAAACTGCACTCAAGAGAAAGCCATGGCAGATAGACAAATTTTTGGGGCATTTCAACAGTGGAATCGAGAAATTAGTCTTACGTGGGTCAAATACTAGGCAAAGGAGGCAGAAGAACACAAAGAAAGACTGTATTGAAAGGTTAAATTTAGAGGTTATGCTACATACAATATGTAAGCTACAAGGCTCTCATTAACATATTAAATGATACAGAGAACCAGAGTGTCACAACCTGCTTGAGACAGGCACCTGACACACAAACAAAAAGAAGCAAAGAATAAGGTGTAGGAGAAGGATGTAGAAGAAGAAGACAATGAAAAGGAAGAAGAATGAGGAAGAGGCTGATGTGTAGGAGGAGGAGAATGCATAAGAACAAGAAGCAGTAATGGTACAAATTTATTCCAGAAACCATGTTTAACATATTACCCAATATTAATTACCCTTTAGTTAACACATAAGGAGTGGATACACACACACACACACCACTAATGAGAGTCAGTAGTAATGTAATTTTTTCATTAAAAAAAAAGTTAAACAGCAAACAAAACTGGGTACACAAAACATGTCAATGTAAGGCAAGAAGAGAACAAAACAGCACCAAATGTTAAGAAACAATTACAGTTAATTTAGCAATTCACACATG